GCGCCCCAGTTTAGAGTTTTCTTCAGGCTGTCTTACTGCTAGGAGGTCGGGCAGAGGACAGTCTTTTCCACAAGTCCAGACCTCGGTCCACAGAGTTTGGAGAGTGAGGGGACGCCCAGAACGGCCCTGTAGTGAGACCAGAGGGTCTGCACACACCTCAGAGGGCTCGCGTGCACCTAAGTGACAGCTAACCTTTAATTAGATACTGTGCACCAGGAAGGGGAGACGTTGTGTTCTCTCTGACAGATTCGCGAGAGGCCAAAACGAGCCTCCCCCCATCGCAGCCTTGGCGGGCGTTCCTGATGTGTGTTTATTAATCGCCAAGGGGCCAGAGACACGTAGACACGTTTGTCACTGAGCAAACCTGACTGTGGAGGCCCGAAGAAGCAGCACTGTCAGCACTCGCACACCCCTGTCTTCCCCAGGCTCAGAGAGGACGTGGCCGGGTCCTAGGTGTGTCTGATTAGCAGCTTTCCCCTCCGATCACAGCCATGAAGCGAGGCTGGCAGGCCTCTTTCGTAGACTGGCTGCCTCGCCCGCTGCCCCTTTGCCCTGGCTGCCCTGAGAACGGAAGCTGGTTAAGAACCTTTTCTCCAGGGGCGCCGGGGCAGCTCAGTCGGTTGAGCGTCCGACTTGGGCTCAGGTTGTGATCTCACGGTTTGTGAGATCAAGCCCCACGCGGGGCTCACTGCTGTCATCACAGAGCCTCCGTCAGGTCCCCTGTCTCCCTCTGTCTGCCCCTGCCCCACTCACACACACCTGCGCTCGCTCGCTCTCAAAAAAAATTTTTTTAAGCATTAAAAAAAAAAAACCGCATTTCAGTTTGTCACAGCCTCCTTGGTCCTGTGGCTGCCAGTGCCGTTGGCTTTCAAAGATGTTTGGGGGGGTTCATCTTCCAATCGAGGTCTTAAAAGTTGGGGGTGCCCCAGTGTCGGGTTCAGAACCTTTGGTCCTCAGGGAGAAGCGTGGGGTTTTGAGTTCCCTCCTGATGGTGGGTCGCTGCGCTAGCCTGCTCTCATGCGGGTTGTTTCCTCCCTCATCCGGTGTGTGGGAGTCGCTTAGCCCGTTTTGGGGGTTTGGTTTCTTCCAAGGAAATCCTTCTGTATGTAGAATGTAGATGCGTAGATTCAGCGTGTCTGCGGGAGAAAGTAAGTTCAGGATCCTTCTCCCGTTACCATCTTGAACAGGACTCTCTTATTCGGCTCATTTGAGGTTACTGCTTTCTAGATTAATGCTGCTGTCACCCGCGAACATGTTTTGTGTGATTTTTGTGGTTTCGAATATAAGGTGTTCTGTGTCCCAGAAGGTGGTTTGTCTCGAATGTTCTGTGTGAACTTGAGAAGAATGTGCGCTCTCTTGTTGATGACGCATTCCATGGATTTTAGCTGAACCTGTTGTGTGCGGGGCTGTTCAGTTTCATGGTTTTCTTCCTGATTTTCTGCCTGCTGGACACTTCTGTTACTGGTACGGGGGGTTTGATGGGTCCAAATTTTAGAGCAAATGTGTCATTTCTTATTGCATCTTATGAGTTTTTGCCTAACCTATTTTTTTAGTCTGTCATTAATGCACATGCACAGAAAGGACTGTTGTTTTCTTGGAGATGTGACCCCGTTGTCATTACCCGATTCCCTCTTCATCTGAAACTTCCCTGCTATGAGGTAGGCTTCGTCTGAAATTTACATGCTCTCTGCCTGCTTTCTTTCAATTACTGTAGTTCGGTAGGTCTTTCTTCCTCCTTTTAACAGTATTCATGTCTTCATACTAGTTATTTATAATGTGCTGTGATAGCATCTTTCAATTGTAGGGTTTAGACCATTGACGCTTAGAGGTGCCTGGGTGGCTCAGTTGGTAAAGTGTCCGACTTTGACTCAGGTCATGATCTCACGGTTCGTGGGTTCGAGCCCCGCGTCGGGCTCTCTGCTGACAGCCAGCTCAGAGCCTGGGGCCTGTTTCAGATTCTGTGTGTCCCTCTCTCTCTGACCCTCCCCTGCTCATGCTCGCTCGCTCGCTCGCTCTCTCTCTCTCTCTCTCTGAAATAAATAAAAAATAAAAAATTAAAACAAAACTTTAGAACATTGACACTTAAAGTGGTTCAATCCCTACCATGCTTCTACTCTTTTTTGTTGTTGTCCTTGTTTCTTTTTGTGTTTTCCACTGTTTTTCTGCCTTCTTTGCCTTTCCTTGAGCATTTTCTCTCTTCTCAGTGTATCAGTTATAGTTTTTCAGAGCTTTCTGTATACATTTACAGTTAACTCAGATCCTCTGACAACACTGTACCTGAAGTACCTCAGGACTGAGTACTCCTAATTTTCTCCATCCCTTGTAACACTGTCTTTTTTTTTTTTTTTCTCCTAACATTTATTTTTGAGAGACAGAGAGCATAAGTGGGGTAGGGGGAGACAGAATCTGAAGCAGGCTCCAGGCTCGGAGCTGTCAGCACAGAGCCCAACGTGGGGCTCAAACCCATGAACTGTGAGATCATGACCTGAGCTGAAGTCAGACGCTCAGCCTCCTGAGCCACCCAGGCGCCCTGTGACATTGTCATTCTTTTCACTTATCTAGGAATTATAAGTATAGCTGAATACATTGAATACGTTGTCACTATTAACTTGAACAGTATGAATTAGTAAAAGAAAAGGCATTTTACCTTCATTACTGCCTTTCCTGATGCTTTAACCTTTATTTACTTCCTGATGAAATTTCCTTTTTTTCAAAGTTTTTTAATGTTTATTTTAGAGAGAGAGGGAGAGAGAGTGCGCACGAGTAGGAAAGGGGCAGAGAGAAAGGAAGATCAGACTCTGAAGGAGGCTCCAGGCTCTGAGCTGTTAGCACAGAGCCCGATGCGGGGTTTGAACTTCCAAACCATGAGATCATGACCTGAGCCACAGTCAGACGCCAAGCCCACTGATCCCCCCCAGGCGCCCCTAGATGAATTTCTTTTAATGTTTCTTAACATTAAACAGGTGGACTCGTGTCAGATTCCTCAAATCTCCGAGATTCTTTACGTCTCCCTCATTTTTGAAGAATAATTTTGTCTGATAACGTTTGTGGGACAGCGGTGGGTCACTCTCACTGCGAGTATGTCGTCACTCCCGGTTTCATTCTTAACTCTTGTCCCAGTGTAACTGAGGTTTGTTTTTCTCTCTGGCTTCTTTCACCGTTCTTTGATTTTTCTCCAGTTTGAATGATCGTGCTTGAATGTTTATTTTTGTTGTTGGGGTTCCCCCCCCATGTCTTGTTTTGTCTTAGCTTCCTGGGTCTGCAGTTTGCTCTCATGAATGTTATGAAATCCGGTGATTCTTGTTTCACTTATTTTTTTCCGTTCCTTTCTGCCTTTCTTTTCCATCAGTTATTTCCATTGTGTATTTTACTCCCGAAGTTCTTGGATACTGTCTGTTTTTTTCTGTAATTTTTTTCTGCCCCAGTGAAACACATTCTTTTGAAGACAAGCTTTATTTAAGAATATTCTGGGAGGGGCGCCTGGGTGGCTCAGTCGGTTAAGCGTCCGACTTCGGCTCAGGTCATGATCTCACGGTTCGAGGGTTCGAGCCCCGCGTTGGGCTCTGTGCTGACAGCTCAGAGCCTGGTGCTGCTTCGGATTCTGTGTCTCCTTCTCTCTCTGACCCTCCCCTGCTCATGCTGTCTGTCTCTCTCAGAAATAAATAAAACATTAAAAAAATATATTCTGGGAGCACCTGGGTGGCTCCATTGGTTAAGCATCTAACTTTTGATTTCAGCTCAGGTCATGCTCTCCTGTTCGTGAGTTTGAGCACTGCATTGGACTCTCTCTCAAATAAACTTTAAAAAAAATTCTGGGCATATTTCAAAACCGCTTTTTTGTCTCCAATTTTGAAGACAGTGGTTTGCCCTGTGTCCTCAGTTCTCTAATGAATTTAAGAAGAGTTGTTCATTTTAAGGTGTTTTGCTTTTTCCTTGGGAGGGAGTGACTTCTTAGTTCATTATATGACTTAAAAAAAGAAAGAAAAAATCTGACTCCAATTTTTAAAAAAAATTTAATTTACATCCAGGGTAGTTAGCGTATAGTGTAACAATGATTTCAGGAGTAGATTCCTTAATGCCCATCAACCATTTAGCCCCTCGCCCCAATACCCCCTCCAGAAACTTTGTTCTCTGTATTTAAGAGTCTCTTACATTTAGTTCCCTTCCCTGTTTTTATATTATTTTTGCTTCCCTTGCCTTATGTCTCATCTGTTTTGTATCTTAAATTCTACAGATGAGTGAAGTCATATGCTATTTGCCTTTCTCTGACTAATCTCGCTTAGCAAAATATGGTCTAGTTCCATCTATGTTTTGGAAATGGCAAGATTTCATTCTTTTTGGTTGCCAAATAATACTGTATTGTATATACATAGCACTTCTTCTTTATCCATTCATCCATCGACGGACATTTGGGCTCTTTCCATACTCTGGCTGTGGTTGATAGCACTGCTATAAACACTGGGGTGCATGTGCCCCTTTGAAACAGCACACCTGTATCCCTTGGATAAATACCTAGTGGTGCAGTTGCTGGGTCTTAGGGTAGTTCTGTTTTTAACTTTTCGAGGGACCTCCATACTGTTTTCCAGAGTGGCTGCACACGTTTGCATTCCCAGCAGCAGTGCAAAAGAGATTCTTTTTCTCCCCATCCTTGCCAACATGTGTTGTTGTCTGAGTTGTTAGTAGTAGCCATTCTGACTGGTGTGAGGTGGCATCTCATTGTGGTTTTGATTTGTATTTCCCTAATGATGAGTGATGTTGAGCATCTTTTCACATGTCTGTTAGTCATCTGGATGTCTTCTTTGGAAAAGTGCCTATTCATATCTTTTGCCCATTTCTTCACTGGATTATTTGGGGTTTTTTGGGTGTTGAATTTGAGTTCTTACATAGATTTTGGATACTAACCCTTCATCTGATATGTCATTTGCAGGTATCTTCTTCCATTCTGTTGATTGCCTTTTAGTTTTGCTGATTGTATCCTTCACTGTGCAGAAGCTTTTTGTTTTGATGAGGTCCCAATAGTTCATTTTAGCTTTGCTTTCCCTTGCTTCCAGCGGTGTATGAAGAAGTTGCTACAGCCAAGATTAAAGAGGTTTTTGCCTGCTTTCTTCTCTAGAATTTTGATGGCTTCCTGTCTTAGATTTACGTTTTTCATCCATTTTGAGTTTATTTTTATGTGTGGTTTAAGAAAGTGACCCAGGTTCGTTTTTCTGCATTCTGACTCCAATTTTTGAAGTTTGCTCCCGACGTTGAAGCTCATCCATCCTCCTTCCTCTCATCCGCATCTGTCCAAGGCGGTAAGAAAGCCTAGTACTTCCTGCTTTGGCCGTGACAAGCGATTCGGTCCACAGAAACCCCTGCCCTTGTGTATGAACTTTCAGTCCATCCACAACCTAATTAAAAAAAAAAAGTCCACGTGCTTCCCCCGCCCCCCCCCCCAGCCGTTTCATCCTGCTTGAGAGGGTCTGCCTTCCTCCCCAGAGACGTCGGTTATGGAATCACTTCTTTCCTACCCTATTGCCAGGATGTACTGTCATCAGCTTGAGGACTCCTGTACTTAGGTCGAGGCTGTTATGCTTCCGTGCCCCAGAGTGGAGCTCATAAATGCGAGAAGCTGAGGGCGCTGCCTCTAGGGTGGCTGGTCAGGAAACTTCCTCCTGAAATCGGAGAATGGAGATTTTATGTTCTTTTGGAGGAAAGCACTGCAGAATCCTTGATGATTATCAAGTACAGTCAAACCGCTGTGGAAGTCTGCGAAGTGCCTTGCAACCTGTAGTTCTTAACCTGTTCCTCAAGGTCAGCATGGACCAGACGGTTATAGTTTGACCAGAAAGAGCTTTTCCAGCACCTTTTCATCTCGGTATGTGCCCTAAAAAGTGAGCAGCGGCGCTGAGGCTCACGTGTATAGGGGTTTTGTGGCGATCTGAATCGTCCGGCCTTTTGAGCATGTCTGGGCCCTAACTTCTGCATAATTTACCGGCTCCATGAAGTGGGTCAGAGAGAGAATGGAAGTACCGAGCGTCATAAGTACTACACAGGCTCAAAGTGCTACTTCTGCACGGGAGTGTTATAACTCATCCAGCTCCCCCCGGCTGCTTTTCACGGCCTGGAGAACCTCCGGCCCGTGTGGCAAACTGATCCTTGTTACAAGTTGGATTTCCACAGGCCTCCTGGACTCTCATGTTTGGTGATGGGACTAGAAGAAAAAGCGTCCGGTGCTTCACTGTGTTTTATTCATTAAAACCTCATGCAGATTTGACCCCGTGCATCATGGAGCGCTGAGTTAAATGGTAGGTAATAAGGAAAGGAGAGGAGTTTTTCTCAGAAGGAATTGGTGTGCTTGAAATAATACGTGGTCTTTTGCGTGGTCTCTGTCTCATTTCTCCGAGGTGCTCTGGACCCTGCTGTTAGAGAACAGTAACATTTCAAGTGATCACAGTAAAAATGCATAAATAACCTGCATGTGTTCATGACACTGTTGAATTCACGAGGAAGTGTGAACAGAGAATAAGTCTCTCAGGACCCAGACTTAAATTTTTGGAGATCACAGAAGCGTACATAACCTTCCTGTAAATTGAGTAAAAAGCCCCTGTGCTGGCAGACTCATGCATACTACTGTCACCATATTTGGGATGTTTTAGGACTCAGTGACGTTTGAGGATGTGGCTGTGAACTTCACCCTGGAGGAGTGGGCTTTACTGGATTCTTCACAGAAGAAACTTTATAGAGATGTGATGCGGGAAACCTTCCGGAACCTGGCCTCCCTAGGTAAAGGGGATATTTTTTTCTTACCCAACTTTGGCTTAGAGAACAAGTAGTTCTGGCTCGTGAGTCTTGGTCCAGCATGTGGAGAAAGAGTATGTTAGTAAGGCTAAGCTCACCAGAGATCTAAAATCTGGTAACTTTTTCTATAATTTCTAATAATTTGGATTTATTTTTTTTTGGTCTGCATTTTAGAGAGAAAATGGAAGGATCATGACCCTGAAGACAGGTGCAAAACCCAGAGGGGGAAACCCAGGTGAGTCACACAGTAGGTAGCAGTGTCCTACATGAGGGTCTATGATGTCATGAAATTTTTTTAAGTTTATTTATTTTGAGAGAGAGAGCGCGCACACGCGCGCGAGTCAGCACAGGCAGAGAGGAAATAGAGGGAAGAGAGAATCCCAAGCAGGCCTTGAGCTGTCAGTGCAGAGCCCGATGCAGAGTCTTGAACCCACAATTGTGAGATCATGACCTGAGCCGAAACCAAGAGTCCAACCGACTGAACCACCCAGGAGCCCCCGTCATGAATTTTTAATCACCAAATTATTCAGCTTCAAGTTTATCCTTAAATTTTTTTTCACTGAAAATATTTACCTAAATGTGACATTGGTGTTCAGTGTTTGCAAAACCGTCCGCTTAGAAACAGCATGAAGAAACCCTGTAGATTAATCATCACTGGGGCCTCCTGGGGGGCTCAGTCGGTTGAGCGTCCGACTTCGGCTCAGGTCATGATCTCACGGTTAGGTGGGTTCGAGCCCCGCGTCAGGCTCTGTGCTGACAGCCAGCTCAGAGCCTGGAGGCTGCTTCGGATGCTGTCTCTCTCTCTCTCTCTGACCCTCCCCCACTCATGCCGTGTTTTTCTCTGTGTCAATAATAATAAACATTAAGAAAAAAAACTAAAAATCACTGTTCACGTAATAGCTGTGCTCAAGTCCTCTTTACAGAGCACTCAGTATATTAAAAAAAATTTTTTTAATGTTTTATTTCTGAGAGAGAGAGAGAGAGAGCATGAGCAGGGGAGGGTCAGAGAGAGAGGGGGACACAGAATCTGAAATAGGCTCCAGGCTCTGAGCCAGCTGTCAGCACAGAGCCCAACGCAGGGCTCGAACCCACGAACCGTGAGGTCATGACCTGAGCCAAAGCCGGACGCTTAACCAACTGAGCCACCCAGGCATCCCCGCAGCACTCAGTATGTTAACTTTTCAGCCAATTCAGAAAGGGCATGAAACCTTCATTTTTATTTTTTATTTTATTAAGAAAAATTATTTTTATTTTTTAAATATTTTTTATTTATTTCTGAGAGAGAGAGAGAGAGAGAGAAAGCGTGAGCAGGGGAGGGTCAGAGAGAGGGAGATACAGAATCTGAAACAGGCTCCAGGCTCTGAGCTAGCTATCAGCACAGAGCCTGATGCGGGGCTCGAACCCACGAACTGTGAGATCATAACCTGAGCTGAAGTCAGATGACTAACCGACTGAGCCACCCAGGCACCCCAAGAAAAAATTTTTTTAAATGTTTATTTCTGAGAGAGACAGAGTGTGAGTGGGGGAGAGGAAGAGTGGGAGACACAGAATCCGAAGCAGGCTCCAGGCTCTGAGCTGTCAACGCAGGGCCTGACGTGGGGCTCAAACTCATGAACCATGAGATCATGACCGGAGCCAACGTCGGATACCCAACCGACTGCACCACCCAGGCGCCCCAGGAAACCTTCGTTTTGCTGTGAATTATAAAAATGTAATTCTAATTACATTTGGGTCGTGACTGACTTCAGGTCATGATCTTACAGTTCATGAGTTTGAGCCCCACATCAGCCTCTCTGCTGTTTCTCAGAGACCCCACTTCAGATCCTCTGTCCACCCCCTCATCTCCTTACCCTTTCCCTGCTTGCGCTCTCAAAAATATTTTTAAAAATTAATTCTAATACTCTATGAATATGAATTATTAAAGACATCATTAATAATAATGCTTCTTGATTTTTACAGAAGTCCTGTGGTAGAAAAACCTTGTGAAAGCAAAGACGGTTGTCAGCGTGGAGAAACCGACAGCCAGATTCCAAATCTTCATCTGAGCAAGAAAACTCCTTCTGAGGTAAAACCACCTCAAGGTCGCCCGTGTGCAGAAACCTTCAGCCAGACACCAGCACTCAATCTGAACAAGAAAACTCCCTCTGGAGCAAAACCCTGTGAGTGCAGCACGTGTGGAAAAGTCTTTGTGCGCCATTCATCCCTCAGTCGGCACATCAGATCTCATGCTGGACACAAGCCGTACGAGTATCACGAGTGTGAAGAGAAGCCATATAAGTGTAAGGAGTGTGGGAAGGCCTTCAGTTACCGCAAGTCTGTTCACAGGCACGAAAGGACTCACACTGGAGAAAAACCCTACGGCTGCCAGGAATGTGGGAGAGCGTTCACATGGCTCACAACTTTTCGGAGACACATGATAACTCACACCGGAGACGGACCTTACAAATGCAAGGACTGCGGGAAGGCTTTCAGTTGCTCCACGTCATTGCGGACCCACGAAAGGACTCACACCGGGGAGAAGCCCTATCAGTGTAAACAGTGTGGGAAATCCCTCCGGTCCCCGCTGGGTTTGCGAATACACGAAAGAAATCACACCGGAGAGAAGCCGTATGAGTGTCAGCAGTGTGGGAAGGCCCTCAGCTGCCCCAGCTCTTTTCGGAGGCACGAGCGGACTCACAGCGCTGAGAAGCAGTACGAGTGTAAGCAGTGTGGGAAAGCCTTCAGCTCCCCTCTGGGTCTGCGGATACATGAAAGGATTCACACTGGAGAAAAGCCGTATGAGTGTAAGGAGTGCGGGAAGGCCTTCATTTCTCCCTCGAGCGTTCGAACGCACATGATCACGCACACCGGCGACGGGCCCTACAAGTGTAAGGAGTGCGGGAAGGCCTTCAATTTCCCCAGTTCCTTTCGAATACATGAAAGAACTCACACGGGCGAGAAGCCCTATGAGTGTAAACAGTGCGGCAGAGCCTTCAGTTGTTACACGTCCTTTCGGACACATGAAAAAACTCACACCGGAGAGAAACCCTATGAGTGTAAGGAGTGCGGGAAAGCCTTCATTTATCGCACCACCTTCCGTGGACACGTGAGAACACACACCGGAGAGAAACCCTACAAATGTAAGGAGTGCGGGAAGGCCTTCAGCCGTCCTAATTCCTTTCGAAGGCATGAAAGATCACATACTGAAGAGAAACTGCCTGAGGGGTAAGCGGTGCGGAGAAACACACTTGATCTTCATTCTTGTGTGTGAAATCCCCCACTGGAAAGAAGCCCAGTAAATATAAGCAAGCCTGATACAAATCAATCCGTGTGTGATGTTCCAGAAAACTGTCACACGGCAGAATCATCGTAAAAGCTATAAACATATTGTCTTGCTCAGTGCCTCACTCATCCGCAGTCCAGAGATCCACCGTAAATTTATTTACTGCTTACTTTCAGAAACGAACATTGAGCTGAGAGAGTTCTGTAAATACGGTACTAAGATTGATAGAGAACTGTTTTCTTCATAAATCTGTAACACTTACCTCTCTCCACTTGTGAGCTTGTTTGACCAGGGGTGACGTGAGGTGGTTTCTAAATATGCAAGTGGGCTAAATTTTTATATAACGTTTCTGCTGAATCATGGATCAGTGACATTTTGGTATTTGTTGGGACTTCCCTGCTGGCCTCCTGTGTCAGTATCCCTTACCCGTCATATATTCCATCTTTCTTGTGAAAAAACCAGTTCCTGTGTTGGCCAGAAGAGTCTTATCCCGTTTTTCCTGTTCATAAAAAGATGCCCTAGTTTTGTAAATGTGCAGAGTTTATATGTAGCCCGATGTCCGTTCCCTTTGTCATTCCTTCTGGCTGGAGTCTGAATACTCCACGTCGCCTTAATGCCTATCGCTGGATAATAAAATGCAGAATTGGAGATGGCGCTCTTAAAGGCTGTTTTGTCCCCTGGGTAATGTGGCCTTTTCTAGAATCTGCCTCCTCTGTGGTTCCGTGTTAGAATTTACCCTTAGACTCACCTGTGGGAGATCGGGGAGGCGGGGCAGGAGGCAGCAGGTCTCAGAGCTACTGAGTGGAGAGGTGGACGGATGCGTGGGAGCCTGGAGGGTACCCGCTTGCAGCCTGTTTTCCCGATTCCCTCCCCTGCCAATCAGGAGTGTCCGCAAAGCCAGCTGACTGCTTGATTCCATTTTGTCAGAGGTACAGGTTTCCACAGATAACCTTCCCATGGTCCGCATAAAAGGTCCACCACAGTCTAGATTTTCCTGCAAGTTCCCATGTGTCCACCAGGCAACTAATTTGAACCTTCACAACTGGGAGTATTCTCTGATGCTCAGACTCGACTCTCTAGATTATAGTCCTAGAAGGTCTCGTCTGCATAGTAAATACCTTGTTCTAAATACCACCGGTGCCCAGGGCCTCCTGCCTCCACCTCGGCCGCTCCAGCAACGCCGGCCAGGAGAACCGCGGGGGAGGCGGTTCCTGTGCTGTGCTGCTCAGTGCCTGCTCTGACCTTGCCCTTCCCTGGGGGAAGGGGTGCCTTCCTCCTGTCAGGCAGGTGCTAGAGGCCTCTCTTTGCTCACGGCTCTGTGCAGTTCCTCAGTACGGTTTCGAGTATGTTCAAGCGTATGTGATTAAAAGCAATGCATGTGTCAAAATGTTTCTTAAAACATTTTATTTTGAAAACTTTTAATGTTTATTTCTGAGAGAGACAGAGACAGAGTGTGAGCAAGGGAGGGGCAGAGAGAGGGAGCGAGACCCAGAATCTGAAGCAAGCTCCGAGCTGTCAACACAGGGCCTGATGCAGGGCCTGAACTCACGAACCGTGAGATCATGCAAAAGTCGATCGCTTAACCGACTGAGCCATCGGGTGCCCTTTAACTGTCTGCATACAGTGTGTATGGCTAACCCCTACTCACAGTACATAGTCTTCTTGGAAATGGAGGCTCTCGCAGGCCCTGGGCCAATGGTCCAATGTAGCCGGCCTTTTCATTTTGCCCTGCGTCCTGAGTCCAGGCTTAGTTTACCACAGAGACCTCCTCATTGAAAAGATCTTGGTACCAACAAAACAGGAAAAACTGGGCCTTCTGGGATGTCCCACCCCCGAGAGAACGTGTGTTCCCCTGTCCTCCAAATGACGGGATCATTCTTGAGGAGGCCATCCCTCTTCTGGCCTCATCGGCCATTTGGGGAGTCTGTTGGGATCCCGTGAATGACTGGGAGAGTTCATATACTCGACGGACCATGTGCCACCATCACACCTGAGGAAGTCAGTCAACTGCAGAGATCCTTCCTGTCTCCAGATCAAATAGGCCATCCCTGGTCAAAGACCACCCAAACATCAGCTCAGCTCCTCAAATTCATGTTGTGCTAGGGCTGAAGGATGCGCTGGCCAAGAATCGGCCTCACCTGAACATTTTTGTACATCCTTTGGCCATCGCCAATGACCTTCTGTCCAGCCCCACCAACAGAAACTCCTTATCCAGGGTTGCCCCCTTCGGGATGAAGAACTCTAGGAATATCCTGAATCACAATTATGCAAGCACAAATAAAGGTCCCTGTTAACTCCATACCTACATAAACTTCAAACTACAGAGGCTTATTTAAAAAAAAATTTTTTTTTTAAATTTATTTCTAGGAGAGAGAGAGACAGCGTGAGCAGGGGAGGGTCACAGACTCTGAAACAGGCTCCAGGCTCTGAGCTGGCAGTCAGCACAGAGCCCGACGCAGGGCTCGAACCCACGAACCATGAGATCATGACCTAAGCAAAAGTCGGACACTTAACCGACTAAGCCACCCAGGTGCCCCACAGAGGCTTATTTCAACGCTTGGGGCAATAAAATAACTCAAATTTCCGAGACTCCTACTGATATCTCAGACTACTATTAAACTTGGCCCTGTGTGCCCATGAAACACGGAACCATGGGGACCCCTCTGCCCTAAAGCCCTAGGCAGAATGCACAGGACTTCCTCTGACATGGCTAAAACAGTGACTGACCAATGCACCTACTGTAAAAAAAATCACACCACTGGTAATATAAACAGTAGACAGAATTCCCAGGCCAAGGAGGCGGTTATAGCCAATGGAAAATAGACTGTATACGGCCCCTTATCTCCTATGCAGGGCTGCTCAGAGACATTACTCACTCACCCTAACATGCCACTGAATGAACCGAAATGCAGGGACTGAGACAGTCCAGACACTGATGTGATCAACTCCTTTCTCAAAAAAAGAAAGGAAGGAAGAGGAAAACCCACAACGCTAGATGCTTGAAAAAGGCATCCATTGGGCCTTGCCTGTTAATGTATTTGCCCATCCCCCTACCGCCTCCCCTCCAGCAATCAGGTGCGGGCCTTGCCTCCTATAGGCTCAGGCTACAGCCCTCACAGAAGCCAGAATGGCTTCCTCAGACAAACCTTGAGGTCTTCTAAATGGGTCTTCCTGTTGTTCAAGGCATCAGACTCAACCCTTCGTTTTGGGACCCATGACTTTGATTTTATCATCATGTCTGCTGGCACCTTATAAGTAGAGAACTTTCTATACCTGACATTCATGTCAAAATGGTCATTTTCACGGGTCTTTGTAATTATAATAGTGCCCGGTAGCCAACACTCTTACATCCCACCTCTGGCCCTTCTTCCTAACATCACCTGTACTCTGTACCCCGCATGTCAACATTTCATTTTGGGCTCCCTCTTTGACAACAACCTCAGGGCCATTGCAGCAAACTGGGATATCTTCGTACCAACTGTACTCATCGTGGGAGCCACTGTCAATGTCTTGGGCACATGTGGTGTCATTCAACAAGCTCCCATCACGGATCCCAATAAAAAAATGTCCAAAACGCTCTAAGCACCTACTGTGGACATTAATGCTTTAGATGCTTTGGATGGAGGCAGACTGGCAGCTATTGCAGCTGATTCCTTGGTCAGGCAGGGAGGGTTCTGTCCCCTTGAAGGGGTTGCTGGCTGCATGGGGGTAGACAACACTGGCAAAGTGCCACCAATAACAACAAAGACAACAGATGACAATAACCAATAACGTTACTAAAATACCTAGACAAAGCTCTGGAAGCCTATTGACATGATATTCCCAGATCTCTCCCAAAACCTCGGGATGACTAGATCCTAATGCTTTTTCAAGGTTTCCTCATCTCTCTTTTTTAAAATGTTTATTTATTCTGAGGGTGAGAGAGTGAGAGAATCCCAAGCAGGCTGTGTACTGTCAACACAGAGCCCCAAAAGCAGGGCTTGATCTCATGAACCAAGAGATCATGACCTGAGCCAAAACCAAGAGTCAGATGCTTAACTGACTGAGCCACCCAGGTGCCCTAAGGTTCCTCATCTTGATTATAACACATTGCTTGTGTTTTTCCCACAGCTTTTAAAATTCATATTCAAATTCAAATTTGTGTAAATGCGATGTGGTATAATTGAGTCAACAGTCATCAAGGCATGAACTTTAACAAAGACACTGACTACATTTTTGATGTCTGACTATTGGCTTTTAGATACCCACTCATCGTGCCTGGCCCACAACAAAATGGGCAACAAAACTAAGAGGGTTCTCATAAGCCCCTTTTCTTTTTGTGCCCATGATAGGAGGGTCAAATCTTGAAAACCCACAGCCTCAACTCCTTGACACATTCAAGGCTCTACCTGCTTTTCCCACTTTACTCCAGCCATCTGAACCCACTTATACTTGCCCTGCTTTCCCAAAATGCCTCAGTAATAAACTGGAAGAAGCCACTCCAGCCCCTAACCTGTAGGAACACAAACTGTAAGACAGGAGTTGCTAGAGTATAGACTCCCTTGAGAATTAAATGGTTTGGGGAACTGGGGCTCCCCACAATTCACAAATGCTTCCTGCAGGAGCCAAACCAGGTCCTCATCATGGAGATCAGAAGAAATTGCCTCAGGGAGCTTGGGTTGCTCAGTTGGTTGAGCGTCTGACTTCGGCTCAGGTCATGATCTCATGGTTTGTGAGTTTGAACCCCACATTGGGCTCTGTGCTGACAGCTCAGAGCCTGGAGCCTGCTTTGGATTCTGTGTCTCTCTTTTTGCCCCTCCCCTGCTTGTGCTGTCTCTCAAAAATAAAAAGATTTTAATTGCCTCCTGTTTCATGAAGGAAGCAGGAAGAAATGTTTTGATATATACACAGTGCATTCTGTTCTCTGTAACTTAAGCTGTCCTTTAAAGAAAACTAATTTGCCAAAGCCTCATCTGACTGGGGAATCTGACAGCTCCAGCCTTGTTCGCCTTTCCTCTTTGACAAAAGGGGAGGAGTGAAGACCAAGAACCGCTTCTGATTTTCATAGTCCAGGGATTCTATGCCATCAAAACCTCACAGGCTTCATCGTAACATAGACCATTTTCCCTCCCAAATACCGCACCATCGCATCAGTAGGGCCCCAATGTAATAAGTGGACTAAAACCAACTGCTGCCAAGACCCAGACTCTACTTAAGATTGAGTTGCTGGGGGCCCCTGGGTGGCTCAGGCAGTTGAGCATCTGACTTCGGCTCAGGTCATGATCTCGTGGTTCATGAGTTTGAGCCCCGTGTCGGGCTCTGGGCTCACAGCTTGGAGCCTGGAGCCTGCTTCAGATTCTGTGTCTCCTTCTCTTTCCTCCTCCCCTCACCATTCACACTCTGTCTCTCTCAAAACTAAACAAACAAACACAGATTGAATTGCTGGAATACCCAAACACTCTGGGGAGAAAAGTACAAGGACACTGAAGAATACTGAAGCCCCTGATACCTACAGTTACAGTAAACCTGAAACAGTCTACCTCCTATTGAATAGCACATAAAACCTCCCATTAAAGGCCAGTTTCCCCCAAATCTTATTAACTGATACAACATGTCTGGCTCTCGACCAAAAATTGGAAGGCATACTGAAGGCGAAGAGAAAACACTTTCT